TTGTTTTTTCCGCGGCTGCAGTAGGATTACCCCGAAGCAGACGACGACGCAGACGACGACGAAGCAGATGACAAAGCGATTCGAAAGCAATAAGACGACTGAAACTGCTTTTCTGCACTTGCTGAGGAAAGTAAGGCATAACAAACAACCCAATCTTATGAAGTAAAGACGTTCAAGAAAATCAAGGGGATACCGGGGCGTGCCAAATGAGAATCTATGATGATGTACGTACGCGCAGCCATATGTAGCCGGGAAGGGATGACTACAAGTAGCATGGCGGCGGCACCACTTCCGGAATGCGCGCGCCTGCCCAGTTCACTTGGTGACATCGGTCTATTGGAACCCATTAAGATTCCAACTGGAAACTTTTTTTCCAATTAATGAGACCCATCGGCCAGTGTGCTTCCAATTGGAACCCACTAAAACCAATTGTTTCCAATTAAAACCAGTTAGAATTCCAATTGGATCTAATGGGAATTTTCAGCTGGGTTTTGTTTTGCTTGTTTGGTGCTCTTTCGTTTTGCTTGTTGCATCGAATGCAAGAATGCTCTGGATACCCATTTTGCTTTTTGCCCTCTCCAGACTTCCCGGCCCAGAGCCGAGCCAGACGTTGCCTGTCCTTCTGGCCGTGCCAAGCCCAGTGCCCGGGCCCTCGCAAATGATCCCCTCGGAACCAAGCCAGGAAACTCAGTAAGAGAAGCTCTTTTGTTTTGCTTGTTTGGTGCTCTTTCGTTTTGCTTGTTGCATCGAATGCAAGAATGCTCTGGATATCCATTTTGCTTTTTGCCCTCTCCAGACTTCCCGGCCCAGAGCCGAGCCAGACGTTGCCTGTCCTTCTGGCCGTGCCAAGCCCAGTGCCCGGGCGATCGCAAACGATCCCCTCGGAACCAAGCCAGGCAGGCCCTCAGTAAGCGGTGCTCTTTCGTTTTGCTTGTTTGGTGCTCTTTCGTTTTGCTTGTTGCATTGAATGCAAGAATGCTCTGGATATCCATTTTGCTTTTTGCCCTCTCCAGACTTCCCGGCCCAGAGCCGAGCCAGACGCTGCCTGTCCTTCTGGCCGTGCCAAGCCCAGTGCCCGGGCCCTCGCAAACGATCCCCTCGGAACCAAGCCAGGCACGCCCTCAGTAAGCGGTGCTCTTTCGTTTTGCTTGTTTGGTGCTCTTTCGTTTTGCTTGTTGCATCGAATGCAAGAATGCTCTGGATATCCATTTTGCTTTTTGCCCTCTCCAGACTTCCCGGCCCAGAGCCGAGCCAGACGTTGCCTGTCCTTCTGGCCGTGCCAAGCCCAGTGCCCGGGCCCTCGCAAACGATCCCCTCGGAACCAAGCCAGGCACGCCCTCAGTAAGCGGTGCTCTTTCGTTTTGCTTGTTTGGTGCTCTTTCGTTTCGCTTGGTGCATCGAATCCAAGAATGCTCTGGATATCCGTTTTGCTTTTTGCCCTCTCCAGACTTCCCGGCCCAGAGCCGAGCCAGACGTTGCCTGTCCTTCTGGCCGTGCCAAGCCCAGTGCCCGGGCCCTCGCAAACGATCCCCTCGGAACCAAGCCAGGCACGCCCTCAGTAAGCGGTGCTCTTTCGTTTTGCTTGTTTGGTGCTCTTTCGTTTTGCTTGTTGCATCGAATGCAAGAATGCTCTGGATATCCGTTTTGCTTTTTGCCCTCTCCAGACTTCCCGGCCCAGAGCCGAGCCAGACGCTGCCTGTCCTTCTGGCCGTGCCAAGCCCAGTGCCCGGGCCCTCGCAAACGATCCCCTCGGAACCAAGCCAGGCACGCCCTCAGTAAGCGGTGCTCTTTCGTTTTGCAAGTTTGGTGCTCTTTCGTTTTGCTTGTTGCATCGAATGCAAGAATGCTCTGGATATCCATTTTGCTTTTTGCCCTCTCCAGACTTCCCGGCCCAGAGCCGAGCCAGACGTTGCCAGTCCTTCTGGCTGTGCCAAGCCCAGTGCCCGGGCGATCGCAAACGAGCCCCTCGGAACCAAGCCAGGCACGCCCTCAGTAAGCGGTGCTCTTTCGTTTTGCTTGTTTGGTGCTCTTTCGTTTTGCTTGTTGCATCGAATGCAAGAATGCTCTGGATATCCATTTTGCTTTTTGCCCTCTCCAGACTTCCCGGCCCAGAGCCGAGCCAGACGCTGCCTGTCCTTCTGGCCGTGCCAAGCCCAGTGCCCGGGCCCTCGCAAACGATCCCCTCGGAACCAAGCCAGGCACGCCCTCAGTAAGCGGTGCTCTTTCGTTTTGCTTGTTTGGTGCTCTTTCGTTTTGCTTGTTGCATCGAATGCAAGAATCCTCTGGATATCCATTTTGCTTTTTGCCCTCTCCAGACTTCCCGGCCCAGAGCCGAGCCAGACGTTGCCTGTCCTTCTGGCTGTGCCAAGCCCAGTGCCCGGGCGATCGCAAACGATCCCCTCGAAACCAAGCCAGGCACGCCCTCAGTAAGCGGTGCTCTTTTGTTTTGCTTGTTTGGTGCTCTTTCGTTTTGCTTGTTGCATCGAAAGCAAGAATGCTCTGGATATCCATTTTGCTTTTTGCCCTCTCCAGACTTCCCGGCCCAGAGCCGAGCCAGACGTTGCCTGTCCTTCTGGTCGTGCCAAGCCCAGTGCCCGGGCCCTCGAAACGATCCCCTCGGAACCAAGCCAGGCACCTCAGTAAGCGGTGCTCTTTCGTTTTGCTTGTTTGGTGCTCTTTCGTTTTGCTTGTTGCATCGAATGCAAGAATGCTCTGGATATCCATTTTGCTTTTTGCCCTCTCCAGACTTCCCGGCCCAGAGCCGAGCCAGACGTTGCCTGTCCTTCTGGCCGTGCCAAGCCCAGTGCCCGGGCCCTCGCAAACGATCCCCTCGGAACCAAGCCAGGCACGCCCTCAGTAAGCGGTGCTCTTTCGTTTTGCTTGTTTGGTGCTCTTTCGTTTTGCTTGTTGCATCGAATGCAAGAATGCTCTGGATATCCATTTTGCTTTTTGCCCTCTCCAGACTTCCCGGCCCAGAGCCGAGCCAGACGCTGCCTGTCCTTCTGGCCGTGCCAAGCCCAGTGCCCGGGCCCTCGCAAACGATCCCCTCGGAACCAAGCCAGGCACGCCCTCAGTAAGCGGTGCTCTTTCGCTTTGCTTGTTTGGTGCTCTTTCGTTTTGCTTGTTGCATCGAATGCAAGAATGCTCTGGATATCCATTTTGCTTTTTGCCCTCTCCAGACTTCCCGGCCCAGAGCCGAGCCAGACGTTGCCTGTCCTTCTGGCCGTGCCAAGCCCACTGCCCGGGCCCTCGCAAACGATCCCCTCGGAACCAAGCCAGGCACGCCCTCAGTAAGCGGTGCTCTTTCGTTTTGCTTGTTTGGTGCTCTTTCGTTTTGCTTGTTGCATCGAATGCAAGAATGCTCTGGATATTCATTTTGCTTTTTGCCCTCTCCAGACTTCCCGGCCCAGAGCCGAGCCAGACGCTGCCTGTCCTTCTGGCCGTGCCAAGCCCAGTGCCCGGGCCCTCGCAAACGATCCCCTCGGAACCAAGCCAGGCACGCCCTCAGTAAGCGGTGCTCTTTCGTTTTGCTTGTTTGGTGCTCTTTCGTTTTGCTTGTTGCATCGAATGCAAGAATGCTCTGGATATCCGTTTTGCTTTTTGCCCTCTCCAGACTTCCCGGCCCAGAGCCGAGCCAGACGCTGCCTGTCCTTCTGGCCGTGCCAAGCCCAGTGCCCGGGCCCTCGCAAACGATCCCCTCGGAACCAAGCCAGGCACGCCCTCAGTAAGCGGTGCTCTTTCGTTTTGCTTGTTTGGTGCTCTTTCGTTTTGCTTGTTGCATCGAATGCAAGAATGCTCTGGATATCCGTTTTGCTTTTTGCCCTCTCCAGACTTCCCGGCCCAGAGCCGAGCCAGACGCTGCCTGTCCTTCTGGCCGTGCCAAGCCCAGTGCCCGGGCCCTCGCAAACGATCCCCTCGGAACCAAGCCAGGCACGCCCTCAGTAAGCGGTGCTCTTTCGTTTTGCAAGTTTGGTGCTCTTTCGTTTTGCTTGTTGCATCGAATGCAAGAATGCTCTGGATATCCATTTTGCTTTTTGCCCTCTCCAGACTTCCCGGCCCAGAGCCGAGCCAGACGCTGCCTGTACTTCTGGCTGTGCCAAGCCCAGTGCCCGGGCCCTCGCAAACCATCCCCTCGAAACCAAGCCAGGCGCCTCAGTAAGAGATGCTCTTTCGTTTTGCTTGTTGCATCGAATGCAAGAATGCTCTGGATATCCATTTTGCTTTTTGCCCTCTCTAGACTTCCCGGCCCAGAGCCGAGCCAGACGCTGCCTGTCCTTCTGGCTGTGCCAAGCCCAGTGCCCGGGCCCTCGCAAACGATCCCCTCGGAACCAAGCCAGGCGCCTCAGTAAGAGATGCTCTTTCGTTTTGCTTGTTGCATCGAATGCAAGAATGCTCTGGATATCCATTTTGCTTTTTGCCCTCTCCAGACTTCCCGGCCCAGAGCCGAGCCAGACGCTGCCTGTCCTTCTGGCTGTGCCAAGCCCAGTGCCCGGGCCCTCGCAAACGATCCCCTCGGAACCAAGCCAGGCGCCTCAGTAAGAGATGCTCTTTCGTTTTGCTTGTTGCATCGAATGCAAGAATGCTCTGGATATCCATTTTGCTTTTTGCCCTATCCAGACTTCCCGGCCCAGAGCCGAGCCAGACGCTGCCTGTCCTTCTGGCTGTGCCAAGCCCAGTGCCCGGGCCCTCGCAAACGATCCCCTCGGAACCAAGCCAGGCGCCTCAGTAAGAGATGCTCTTTCGTTTTGCTTGTTGCATCGAATGCAAGAATGCTCTGGATATCCATTTTGCTTTTTGCCCTCTCCAGACTTCCCGGCCCAGAGCCAAGCCAGACGTTGCCTGTCCTGGCTGTGCCAAGCCCAGTGCCCGGGCCCTCGCAAACGATCCCCTCGGAACCAAGCCAGGCGCCTCAGTAAGAGATGCTCTTTCGTTTTGCTTGTTGCATCGAATGCAAGAATGCTCTGGATACTCATTTTGCTTTTTGCCCTCTCCAGACTTCCCGGCCCAGAGCCGAGCCAGACGCTGCCTGTCCTTCTGGCTGTGCCAAGCCCAGTGCCCGGGCCCTCGCAAACGATCCCCTCGGAACCAAGCCAGGCGCCTCAGTAAGAGATGCTCTTTCGTTTTGCTTGTTGCATCGAATGCAAGAATGCTCTGGATACCCATTTTGCTTTTTGCCCTCTCCAGACTTCCCGGCCCAGAGCCAAGCCAGACGTTGCCTGTCCTTCTGGCTGTGCCAAGCCCAGTGCCCGGGCCCTCGCAAACGATCCCCTCGGAACCAAGCCAGGCGCGCCCTCAGTAAGCGATGCCCTTTTGATTTACTATAGGTCCATTGAACATGTGAGGCGTCCACGGGATACTCAATTTTGCTTTTTTTACTACTTCCAGGCCTCCCTGCGTGGCTGAAGAGCTAAGTCGGTCACCGCCTGTCCTCACACCTGTCCTGAGCCCAGTGCCTAGTCATGGATCAGAGTAAGACATAAATTCCGTGCATGCTCTAATGTAATTGATAAAAATAACAATTGAAGGAACAGGTAAACTGCATTATGAAATGTTTTTCTCAAATTTGGGGCCATCTTAGGAATGCGCAAGGCACTGGGGCGTATAAATGCTATGCTGTCCTATTTACACATGATGTTTATGTGTCCTGCTGGGAATAGTGAGTGTTATTTAGAGGTTGCCAATGTTACCAGTCTTGGTCACATTGGCAACTGAAAACCACTGCATTGATACACCATGAAGTTTCGTGTCTAAATAGGATTCAACCCTTTGTGCATTATTGCATGTGCCTTCTTTATAGTGTGCAGCTTTCTTCTGTTAAACCCAAACGTGCTGAAAGTTCCTGCGGAACACCTTCTTTATCTTTTGATTCTCCCCTGCTCCTTTGAGTGGAACAGCTTGAAAAGCTAATCTTTAATTGTCTGGGATAGAAAAAGAAATCAAAGGGATGGTATTGCTGTTTCTATAGTTTTTGTATTTGGAGTTTGTCAGTTGCTATTACCTTGTTGCAGGTTAAGAAACTCCTAGCTGCAAAGCCCTCCACTCTTTCCATAATAGCAGAGCAAATGTTAGAGAAGAGGCGAGCCCTCTCACCTTTTCTACAGTATTTGCGAACTAAAGTAAAAAGGGTGTAGGGCTTCGTGAGTAGTAGTTTGTCCTGCTTTTCTTAACCTGCAACAGGGTATGGGACCGTTCGGCTGGGCCAGGGGGCGCGCTGGAGCGATACCAGTGGCGCCGCGCCGTGGCCCAAATTCGCCCTACTTAGCCGTACGCCCGTCCCTCCCATCGCGCTGCCAGTTGCAATGGCGGGCACCGCGTTGAAGCTTTCTGTCCGTTAAAAAACTGCGATCATTTTTTTAGGGAGGCGAACCTCCGCGGAGAAAGGTTGTCTGTGTGTCAGGTCTCCGGGGTAGAGCAAATAATCCAGGCATACGAATATTTGTCGTTTGCAAAGTGTGTCTCGCAAGTGCAAGACAGCGTCGACATTAACATCCGCCTCGAGATAAATGCTCTTTATCTTTATGGTTTCTCTAGCTCTTCAAAGTCAGGAGTATTCGGACAAAGATGAGAATGCAATATTGTTTAAATTGTCTTTTAGCGCACAGCTGCGCTGTCGCATACACACCTTGACCTCAGGTCACTTCTCAGAGTTACCGGCTGCTGGAAGCATGCCGCGCCTGTCCTAATTCATCCGGGTGAAGTTAATGACGAGGCACGTACAGCCTGATCGCAACACTGGGTCAAGTTCTAATAAAAAACCGAAACGGTACGTCAATAAAGCCTCCGCTTTTGTTTTGAGTGGGTCCAACTATAAAAAAAAAAAAATATATATATATATATATATATATATATATATATATATATATATATATATATATATATATATATATATTACTATACGCCGCAACACCTTGCTGTGTTTGCGCGCATCTGTCGCTGTCCTCAAAGCGGTAGAATTGCAATTCATGCACGTGCGTCAGTAACCCACTTTTAATTTTATTAGTGAAGAAAGGGATCTCCAATCGACTTGCATTTGCGTTGTAAAGAGTCCCATTTTTTTAAACTTATTTTTATGTGACCGCAGAACGATAATTTTAAACTGTTCCGGTGCACAACAAATAAAAAATTTTGCGTCACTATTTGCATTGTTAGCTGTTTAGGTACAATTAAACTTGATCCATCTTGAGTCTGTGTGCCAGGAGAGCATCGTCAATATTACATCTCTCTCTCTCTGCAAGAAAATATTACCTGATTTTAAATTTCAGCCCTGAATGTTTAGTTATTGGCCTTTGTGGCGTGCACTGTCCTCGTCCTTTTTATGCTGCTTTCAATTTAAACATCTAACATTGCCAACACACTCTTATTGGTTGACCGAGGAATGTCCGGGTTTGATGTTTTAGAGTTACTTGGGAAAGTTATTATGCCTGTTGTAGGTGAACTACATCATTTTAATAATATAAAAAAAATCTAAAGTATGGCCGTCAGTGTAAATCTCTTTTAGACTATGCGCTAAAATCAGTGCTCAATACGGGCTATGATTATCTGCCTCCCCTCATATCTTTCGCTGCTTACTCGCCTTCTCTTGTAAGCATCGGGAAACAAAATTGATAGAAATTACTGTGAGAGCGCAGGCGAGCCGGTGTGTATATTAACCATTTAGATGAATCGCCCAAGACTGGGGCGAAAAATCTAAAAATATTAACCGTGTATGAGAGATGCCTCTTTCTGTCCACAGTTGATATTTCTAGCTTTCTCGACCCAGTCTCCACTAATGTATCAAAATGCAAAAATGGCTAGTAAGCAAAGTGAGCTGGGTTCTCAAATTTAAACTTGTTTAATAGTAACTGCATAATCAGGTTTATTTTGTCGACACCCACGGGGAACCATCCTAGCTATTACATTAGGAACATCTAAAATCGCCAACACGCTCAAATTGGTCGACCCAGGGAGGTTCTAGAGTCTAATTTTGTGACATACTTAGGAAGTGATTATGCCTGTTGTGGGCTAACTACATCATTTTAATATTATATAGAGAAACTAAAATACAGCCGTCAATTTGTTTTCAATTACGCGTTCAAGTCAGTACGCAATAGGGGCTACGATTATCTGCCTGATTTTTCCCCAAGTCTGTTGCCGTTTACCCGCTTTCTCTTGTTAACATCGGGCAACAAAATGGGCGGGTAAGCAAAGTGAGCTTGGTTCTCAAATTTAAAGTATTTTATAAAAAAATGGTAACTGCATATTCGGGTTTCGTTTGTAGACAGCCATGGGGAACCATTGTAGCTATTACATTAGGGACTTATCATAGAACGTCAGTGTTAAATTGCGGGCCCCACGGGCGTCAGCTAATATACCGCCCCCAACCAACGCAAAACCCCTGCATGCTCTCGCGTGTGACCTACGAAAAGTCCCTATTAATGTGACAAGCAAGCGTAGCTGCATTACTGAATCACGCGACAAGAGAGAAACGTCCTCCACACAGCTGGCGATTCATGCTTCTGGCGATCTTTCTTGAATCACCTCCCAGGAACTAAACAAAACTTTTCGGGAGGCAGATACCTTTCTGTATAATACGATGCTGTGACATTTGGGTGCCCTTTTGCATTCCGTACATTACTTTACGAAGCGCGAGGCCAGCACGACAAGCGCACCAGCCTCCTGCGTCGTCTGCTCCTCGTACTCCTAACAAGTATCGGCGCGCCTCGCCAGGGGGAAGAGTGGCGCTGCGTACGCGCGGCGAAACTTCAGCCGCACAGCCCTATAGACTTTTTTACTGTTTACAAACACACTCTTGCCCCCCTAAAAGACTTCTGGTTGCTCCGCTTTGGAAGGCTTTCGAGCCTGGTGACATCAACATTTTTGGAACCATGAAGTTATACAAAAATCACGAAGGGCATCTAGTGAGGTCTTTCTTCTGTGCCGTAAAATAGATAAGAGGGGTATTAAAGAATCTCCAACAAATTTCTCACTTACCGGTCCTTTAGCTAATCAGCTAAATGAGAACTGGTCATAAAATATTTAATGAATGTTGCAAGTGGTACTACGGTGGGAGTTTGTCCTCTTATTTGACTCGAAGTTTGCGGGGACATATATTGCCAACAGCACCTTATGTCGGCGCTTTCAATAGAAGGGCCTCTAGTTGCATTCTAGCATAATTTCATTATTTTCTATTGCAAGTTGTACTTATGTATGCTGCATTGTTATTCTTGTCCAGCTCTGCCCTCTTGACAACTCCCGTAGCGAGGTGCCTGAAAAGAAAAGCCCCTGAAGACAGTAGCAGCGGCAAGCGGCGGCTGCTGACCCCAAAGACCAGGCTGATCTGGAACCTCAGGGTGAGAGTCAGCAAGCTGAAGAAAAAGCTGACCTTCAGTGCCAAGAGGACGGCAACTAGAAGTCAAATGCTGGAACAGCTTAAGTCCTGTGTGTCCGTCAATGTGTACAACTTCGTCCTAAGCCAGGTACAGGCATTTTCCGTTCGCCCTCGTGGCATGAGGTGGTCTGCAGCAGATAAGAGGCTGGCCCTTAACCTGTATTTGAAAAGTCCTGCAGCATATAGGGTGTTGAAGAGGTATTTGCAGCTACCATCCAAGTCGACACTGAAGCGTAGCATTCTTGGAGTCGCGAAGGCTCCTGGCTTCTGTCCTGTGATCCTTCAGGCTATCAGGAATGCTGCTACTTCAATGCCTGACATGCAGAAGATGTGCATTTTGTCATTTGATGAGATGCACATCAATGCTCAGCTGCAGTACTCAACTCAGTCAGATTCTGTGGTAGGCCTTGAGAATTTTGGGACGGAGCATTCTCCTCGCCCTGGGCAGAAACCGGCAACTGAAGCACTCTGCTTCATGGTTCGTAGCATAGGAGGAAAGTGGAAGCAATTGCTCGGGTACTTCTTTTCCTCGTCCTCAACGCCAAGTGACATTTTGCAAACACTTTTGTTCAGTGCCTTGAAGCACCTTGCAGAGTGCGGCCTGAAGGTTTTGGCGGTCGTCTGTGACCAGGGCCCGACAAACCAAAGGCTGTTCTCGCAGCTGGGTTTGTTTGTCCCCGGCGTGTTCTGGACGCAGCCAGAACACGCCGGGGACAAGGAGTTAAAACTTGCCGCTTCTGAGGGTGTGTTCGCATTCCACACGATTGCCCACAACCAAAGCTTTCGGTCAATAGACTGCACCTCAAAACTCCTGCAGAAACTTTTCGACGAGAAGTTTGCCTGTGCGCACACGAAAGCTGAAGCGGTTGCCTTGAATGTGCTCGCTCCTTCTGCAGCAGAAAAGGTGAAGGCCGACCTCTAGGATGCTCAGTTCATCTCTGTCTTCTGTGATGCGTCGAATTGAAAGGATCTGAAAGTGTTTCCAATAATGGTTCGCTACTTCAGCTCTGCTGCTGGAGTGCAAACGAAGCTGCTTGAAATCGAAACATTGCCAGGTGAGACTGATCATAAGCACCACTGGAAGCCATCGACATCACATCGTAGCTGATTACTTTCAGCGCCAACAACTTTGCAACTTTGGGGGTGCAACTGCAACTTTGGTGGTGCCGCACAGAAGGGAAAGGAAGTCTTCGCAAGAATGCAAGACGCTTCAATTCACAAGCTCATTGGGATTGGCTGTGTAGCGCACATAGTCCACATCACCATCTAGACTGTAGCTGACTGCCTCCCAATTGAGATTGAAGCTGTGATCGTTAAGATATATTCATACTTTTACATCTATACAGTCAGGGTAGAGTCGTTCAAGGAGTTTTGCGACTTCGCATCAGTGGAGTACCAGCGGCTCCTGGGCCACAGTAAGACTACATGGTTGGCATTGATGCCAGCTGTTGAGAGGGTGCTGAAACCCTTTCCTGCTTTGAACCTTTTTGTCGGCAGACAAGTGCCCTCTTTGATCAAGACAATTTTTGAAGATGCATGCGGAGAGCTCTGACTCTACATCCTGCACAGCCAAGCTGCCATGTTTCAAGCGACTGTGCTGCAGATCGAAGGAGACTCGAAGACTACCATCGAAGTTTACAAAGCCCTAAACCAGCTGCAGACGAAAGTCCAGGACAGACTTCAGCAGGGATTTTTGCCGTCAAGCGTGCGCTCCATGATTACTACGCTTGAGGAACAAGAAGTTCGAAGAGGATCGGTAACAGAAGTTGTGAGGAATTTCTATCAGACATGCATGTCATACCTCGACCGATGGTGCAACCAGTTTGATGAGATCAGCGGTCGTTCCGGAGCCTCTCTCGACACAGCACCACTTTGGAACGATGTTCAGAAAAGTGTGCAAGTCATCACTTCAGAGTTCAGCCATGTCCGTCTTGAGGAGAGCGCTTTATTTGATGAGGCATGCAACGTTTTGCGTTATGTCACGGCCAAAGGGCTAAAAGAATGGAAGAACAAGAAGACACTGTTTGGAGAACGGTGGGTGGAAGTGCTCCAGCATTTCGAAAGAAATGATGTGCATCATCAAGGCAATCATTGAGTCCTGCATGTGTTTGCCAAGTATGAATGCACCAGTTGAGAGAGTGTTTTCGCTGATGAACACAGTACGGACTGCAGAGAAGCAGCAGCTTCAAGTGGCAACACTCAAGGCAATGCTGATTCTCCAGGTGAACGTAACATGACATGTGAACAATACCTTGGACACATCAGCAAAAATGAAGGACTACTAAAAAAAATCCATTCTAGCCAAAAGTATTAAATTTGTATACCGGCTAAGAAGAAAACAAACTGGAGGGAAGGTAATGCTGCATGGCGTGGATGAAACAATAAAAAGTGTGATTCGTTGACTTTAAGAAAAAGTACAACGTAGACTCTAACCAATTTCTTCAATGTGCCCGACGTTTCGAAGCCAGCTCGGCTCCTTGTTCACGGGTGACTGTATATGGGCCCAAAGTTAGCAACCTGTCGTTGTTTTCTTCTCTTCTCTCTTAGCTTTGCTTTCTTCTTCTGTTTCTGTGTGTGGCGCATTTTAGTCCGTGTATGTAGCTGCTTGCTACCTTTGGGCCCATATACAGTCACCCGTGAACAAGGAGCCGAGCTGGCTTCGAAACGTCGGGCACATTGAAGAAATTGGTTAGAGTCTACGTTGTACTTTTTCTTATTACTTACCTAACCAGGCGGAGTTCCGCCGAAATGTTTACATTCGTTGACTTTAAACACATGTCGCAACTTTAGGCTGCCCTGCCGCCCCCCTCCCCTCCCTCCCTCCCTCCTCCCCTCTCTCCCTTCCCTTCCTTCCTTCCCTCCTTCCCTCCCTCCCTTTTTGGGGTGTGAGGAATATGGTCACTTTAGCATAATTCCTAATTTTCTTTTTGAATTTTCTTCCACATAGACATTGAGGTGTGGTGGAAGACATAAAGGGTGTCAAAGAAGAGCTTTTAGCCAAGGGCTGGCCTGACCATGTGAGCCCAATCCTGGGCTCATTTTCCATCATGACATACAAAGATGCCATAGAGCAATATGGGTGATAAGCTGTCCAAAATCTCTAATTCACATCTTGAAAACTCGAAGCAAGCAGTTCAGTCAAAAGCTTGCTCTCTTGCAAAGCAAATGAAGCGATGAGGTATAAATGATCAGTGTAACCGATTAGTGTATTGTGATTTTTAACGTTTTAACTGTAATGAGATTACTCTTAACCCTTTAACTCGATCCCGGACCCGTGCCGTACCTATCTGGTTGTCAAAACGTCGGGGCGAGTCGGAGTGTGCGAGATGCTTATTTCTGGGGTCTGAACCTGTCGTTCCTGCCGTGTGTCGTGTGCTGTTGTCGTGTTCCCGTGTTGGTGTGCGTATTTAACGTTTGTGCGCTTGACTGGGCGAGTGTGTTCGTGTACGTAGACTGCTTCGAGGATGCGCTACGCTCGATTCTCAATAGGCTTATCGACCTAACAAGCCGGTGGTGGTGGGCCGTGGTGTTGGGGTGTCAGCAAAAGCTGGAAGCTCAATGACGTGCTAATAGTAGGTTTAATTAGAATTAAGAATGACCTAATGTGTGTGCTATTTATAATCATGTGCTAGTCACACTAACCGGCAGTCGTTCCTGATCGAAAAAGCGTCGCTGAGTGTACGGGAACGGCGGACACAGTGAAACCTCTGAACTATTTAGCCAGCCAGAAATTTTCAATTGGGCTGTCTCAGCTTGTAAACGATAGTGCGGTATGCGATGACGATTTGACTGAATCAAGTATTGTTTGTATCAGCTTTGTAAAGTGTTACAATTTCGAACGCAGACATTGCGTAATTTAGGCATCATCCGCTCTCTTCGGTGTCCTATTCTTAAGTCAGCAATTTAAACTTTTCGTCAAAGGTGTATTTCACAGGTCGGTTTTTTCTCGTAAAATTACAAAGTGTAGTTCTCGTTCTGTTAAAAATACAACCGAGAAACCTTCCAGGGTCTATGGCGGGCAGCGACGCATACGACAGGGGTTCAGTAGCCGGGTGTATTTGGTGTTCGTATCGGTAGATGGCGCTACCTCCTTACCACGACTAGGGTGCCTACATGTCAGTCTGTCTGAGGGTGAAGACATCCATTATTGCCCTGAATGTGCCAGCGCGTGACACTCTCGCGCACTCGGTGCGTGACTTGGGCGGTAAAATGGCGTCTATGCATTAGCCAAAGCTACGCGCTCAAGCTGAGTGACACCAGGGGCCGCTTGCTCGAAAGAGTTGAGACACAACTTGAGACAGTCTCAGCCGAGACCGAACGTGAGCCACTTGCTCGAAACGAAACTTAGTCTGGACTTGAGACTGAAACCGAGTCTCTGACTCAAGTTGTGTCTCAAGCCGGGAGACAGCCCATAGCAAATTAGCTGGCGGCCGATTTAAGACCCAAACTGAGACCCAAACGGAGACCCAAACTGAGACAGTCTCAGAGGTTAGCCACTTGCTCGAAACGAAACTTAGTCTGGACTTGAGACCAAAACCGAGTCTCTGACTCAACTCTAGTCTCAGATCGTGAGACAGCCACGGAGAAGGCTCACTGGTGGTCTCAGAGTAAACAAAATGTCGGACGTGGCCACAAGACACCGGCTCCAAACAATCTTTGCCGCATGAATGCACTCCGTGGCACTGTCGGACCGTGTTTTCCAGGACCGATTTCGCCCCTTCAACGTTTCTGACGAGGTTTCGGTTTCGCCGCGATGGCAACATGCGCATCACCGGAGTCTTGGAGGTAAGAAAACAATCTTATTTCTAACGTTCCTCTTCAACTATATGTTACATTTATTAACCCTTTAACAGTTAATGTATCCGTATAGATACACTGGCTTTATCTACTTTTTTCTTGTACTAAAAACTCAATACAAGGGCGTTTTGCCATTCCTCCTCAAATCTTCAGTTTCGGTTTCGGTTTCATCCATTTTCGCGTTTGTGAAGTTCGTTATAGTGACACCAGGGGGCCTAAAAGCTCCGACTGTTGTATGGGCCAGACACTTGTGAGCTTTAGTCTGGCAGCCACGCGGTAAATTTGCGTTCCTTGTATTGCCTGTTCATCACGTTGTTGGATCACTGTGTAAAAGGCACAGCTGGGCGACAAACAAAAAGGTGAGCGACTTAATTTTACATTTTCTTGAATAGATTTATAAAAATTGCATGCCAAACATCAATGTATCTGTGGGGATACATTGCCCATTCAGAGATGCCTTTTGTTGGAAAGCGTAAGCTTTCTTTTTTTTTGTTTAATTGTCAGATGGAGCTGCGCCCAAGCACATTCTACCGTGCAAGACAACGAGACCGCAGCGTGCGGGCCCTTATACCCGAAAATGACATGATTTCTGACATCGCCTCATCTGATGATGATGACCCAATCCACAGTGGGGATAGTGACGAGGACTATGTGCCCTGCAAGAGTTGGCGGAAAGAGCACCTGCGTGCAGAAAGCCCATCACCAGTAGACAGCGACACTAATCTGCCGTCAGAACAGCCATCAACATCCCATGCTGCTACACCTAGCACTTCGGCTGACGTAGCTGACCTTTGTAACACTAAAGCTCCTCGTTCTTTCGCATGTTCCAAAAAGCAGAAGAGGCCCCTGGCACTTGTATGGGAGTCAAGAGATGTGGACTATTCCCGGCATTTTTTAAGTGAGCAATATGGTCAGGGAGAAGTCAAAGCTCCGGTTAGCTACTTCAAGTTATTTTTTGACAGTGCATTCATCGAGCTCATCGCAAATGAGAAGAATCTATATTCGGTACGAACTGAAGGAGCCTCAGTCAACACATCTGCTGCTGAGATTAAACAATTCTTGGGCATTTTAGTGCTAATGGGTGTTGTGAAGATGCCTGCGCTTTCCGACTACTGGTCGGACCGCCTCCGATACCCTCTCATGGCGGACGTAATGCCTGTAAAACGCTTCAAGAAGCTCCGAAGACTAGTACACTTCACTTCGACAGAAGACGCAACGGACAAGTTTACAAAAATACGGCCTGCCTTTGGACTACTTCGTGGGAACTTCAGGAAGGTTGAAGAGGAAAAACAACAATCCATCGACGAGATGATGGTGCCCTACAAAGGCAAACGAGCTGGGAAGCTGCGGCAGTATATGAAGAATAAACCACATAAATGGGGCTACAAGCTATTTGTGCGTGCAGGCGTATCAGGCATGGTTTACGACATCCTGCCATATGCTGGAGCTGACACATTTTCTCATGTGACATTCAGTGCGGAGGAGGAGGCCCTCAATCTTGGAGGAAAGCTGTTGTATACCTCTGCAGTACTCTCCAGAACCCAGAAGAAAGCGCAGTGTTCTTTGATAACTTTTTCTGCAGTATTGAGCTCATAAAATATCTGAAAGAGACATTTGGAACGGTGTCACTGGACACTATACAATCTCCAAGAATGCGTGGATGTCCCCTTCTAGAGGACAAGGCCCTTTTGAAGAAAGGCCGTGGACATTATGATCAAAAGACAGAGAAGACCTCAGGTGTCACCATCATCAAATGGGTTGACAATAAAGTTGTGAACCTTGCGAGCAACTTTGTTGGCGTTCAGCCAGAAGGTACTGTCAAGCGCTTCTCGAAGGAGGAATCAAAGAAAGTTGCAGTACCATGCCCTCGAATTGTACTGGAGTACAACAACCACATGGGAGGCGTAGACCTCGCTGATATGCTAATTGAGCTTTACAGAACACCTTTGAAATCAAAAAGATTTGAAGTTGTTTGCACCGTTGCTTGATATATCTATCAACAATGCCTGGTTGCTCTATCGCCGTGACTGTCGCATTCTTCTGAATCAACCGGCACTTGCACTGAAGGACTTTCGAGTGGCTGTCGGTGAATCCCTTCTAAAAGCAGGAAAGAGAAAAAGAGGTAGACCATCTTTTGATGAGGTTCCACAAAAAAGATCCGCAAGGCAAAGGCTTCAAGGCCAGCTGACGACGTGAGATATGACACTATTGGACACTGGCCTTCTTTCGGCACAAAAGGAGGTGCCGGTATTGTTCCACTGGGCAAACACGTGTAAAGTGCACGAAATGTGACATGCTCCTGTGCTTTAACAACCAAGGAACTGTTTCTGGAGCTTCCACACTCGTGGGCTGTAAGGGTTACCTTAAGAGGCAATGTATCCACTGGGATACAGATCTGGAACTGGACAAATGTTGTGACGCTTGCTAGAGATTATTTTTCATCTGCATGATTGCGCCATTTTAACCACAAAACGTTGTCTAATAAATTTTTTCTCATGGAAACATCTGTGACCAATAAAGGGTTAAGCGGCCAGCTGCAAAATAATTTTGGAGCAATCGAGACTTTTGTTTTCGTTAGTTCAGCTCTTCTGATCAACATGCAGCGCCGTCATTGCGTCCTCAAAACGTTGTGTAGTGGTCCTTCCCCAAGCTCTCTCTATTTTTTATTGTCTTTGGTGTGGCACGGTCTTTCGTATCACGGTGAGTTTCTCATTACGAAAACAGTTTTGAAATAACGAGTTTCACAACTTGTCAGTGGAAACAGCTGGTGGATACTTGAGTGAGTTTTGAAAAAGGAGCATACTCTTCAAAACGGTAGTGAATGACATGTATTGATCATATCTCGCGGCAAGCTTCGTTCTTTTGAGGACTATGTCGGCAATGGAAACTGCTATAGTATTCAACTGACGGTGTAAACCACGTTTCCTCCGTCGGGTGGTCAACAGCAGCGGAATTCCCCGAACTGGAGCAGAAGTTTTACGCCATGGGCGGTTTTCCGGGCGTCGTGGGAGTCATCGACGGCACCCACGTTCGGATCCAATGGCCGCCGTGCACGAGGAACTGTTCGTGAACAAGCACTACGGTCACTCCATCAACGTGCAGCTGATTGTGGACGCGTGCTCGAGGAACCTGAATGTGGTGCCATGTGACCCGGAAGCATCCACGATTCCTACGTGCTGTTGCAGAGCAGTGACGGGGAGAACGTCACGATGGGCACGTACGGCGGCCTCCTCCTAGGCCGTTGCAGCTACCTGTGCAGAGCGTGGGTAATAGGGCCTTTCCGATCGCCGACCGCGCCAGTGGAGTGTACGTACAACCAGGATTACGGAACAACACGGTTTGTAATCGAAAGGCAGGTGTTATGGAGAGCTGCTTTCAGAGAAACAGTGTGCCTGTGAGGTGTCTTGGAGCTACCTTTTTCTAAAGCGCAAAGGGCACACTGCGCATTGAATAGTCAGGCTATGAACAAACTGGTTTATGTGCACAGCGTATCCTACGATAGCCACCATGCCAGGTTGTAGATAAAATTTGATTGTAGCCAGACTGCACCGAATGGCAAACAGCAGCAGTATCATGGGGCCTGGCAAAAGAACTGCTGAGTACAGTTGTATCGAGCATCACAATAAGTGGAGTCCAGAGTTCTGTTTGTTGTTGTAACCCCACAGACAATGAGCTGAAACTCCCGATCCTGACTTCTCTGTGTCCATGATCCTCACAGGCCCTATTACCTCAGTTCGCTAGATTTATGGCTTTTGGGTACATCACGCTGTTTTCTGTTCTAAAGGGTGCGATACGTTCTGAGTATCTTAATTTCGCGCCTCCGCCAATGAGCTTTCGACTTTTTCCAGTAAGAAATAATTGCAAACCTAGAAGCGTGACCATATTAAAATACACTCTGCATTTCTTACGCTGTCAGACACGATAATGAGGCACGTTAATTTTTCTGATGCCAATGAAGGGTCAACTTTCTGCGGAAATACAGATACAGAGCCAAAGCATGCCATATTTCACTGCGTAGCTAAATATAGTTCAACCAAAATAATTTGCTGGGTGTAACTTCACCACTTTAAAAAAAACTCTTATTGTTCTTTTTAGCCTTGTTTCCGAAACATTGCTATGATATTAGTGAGATTGTGTTAAACATGTTTTTTTCTTTTTTAACTCCCTTGGGTTTCCTTCGTTCGTCTGCCGCAGGTTTTCTGTACTCCATTACATCATAACTGGGTTGGGAAACGGCGAAGGCTACAGTCTAAGCAAACCAATCAGCAGGTTGGGAAGAGACTTGACTCACTAGGTCCGTACAGTGCTGTCAAAGACGTGGGCGAAAAAGAGAAGAATGCTGCTTTTGTGAAAATTTTGAGTTACAGGTTAAGTTTCAGGGGAGAGAAAGCAACTTCCAAGTTCCTCCTTTCCCACTTTTTCAACTGCTTGGGTTACGCTTTGCCTCTGTCACTGATTGAATGGAGGGGACCGTAGCACTTTCTCTTTGCCAAGTGACGGTGAGACAGAGTTTAGTTTCCTGTTGAACAAACATGGCGTCTTTCTCTTGTGCAATGGGCAGGGGTGTGGATTGAGCTACAAGCTTTGAGCCGAGGGTCGCTGGGTTCTGCATTGCGAGTTTTTGCTATACAATTTCCGAGCTGTGGTACGCCACTGACTCTACCTAGAGCCAACAGTAATTGAATGCGATCCAAATAGGATTTCGCTTTGTGCTGTAGCTTGTGCATGTTCCTGTTTTGGTGTATTGTGCAGACACTATGATTTTCCAGCACCAGAAGAATTATTTATATCAATATCCTCAAAACTGCAGTGCCGGTGAACTTAACGGCGTTGAACTTCATGTCATTCACGGCACGACACAAATACTAAACGCATTGACGCTGCCTGCATGCCACTCGGCGGTGAAGTCTCAAAAAGCCTGTACAAATGCGGTGGTGCAGAAGGCAAACCTTTTTCTTAAGGTGCGGCCGTGGCAGGCGTTTTTGTGGTTTTGACGTTTGCTTTTAAGGGGGGACATGGGCCTAAATTTTAAATTTTTTTGAAAATATTCATTTTTTAATTTTGAGGTTTTCAGTTTTAGAAACTAATTATACACCCTTACACCAAATTTGATTACCATATGCCAAATAGTTACGTTGATATAAAATATTTTCAACACATTGTGAGGCAGTAACAAAGTAAAGGAGTTCAATGTTTGAATGCATTTTTCTCAGTTCTACTTTTTGCTGCAAATTTCTTACGAAGGAATCTTTTGTTCAAAGGTGAAAGTATTCAGATACCACAATGAAGATGTTTCTGAACTGAAATTTACTGGGGAATCGGGCTATCTACTTTATTTTGTTATAAGTTGAAGTCGTCAGTGATAAAACAATAAGTTTTCGAAAATTGGCATAGGAAAGATATGCATCTCATAGTTTGAGGTAATAATTCTTCCTGAAATATTTACATTTAAGTTATTAAAACTAGATAGCCCGAGGTCCCATATCCCACACTTTATATTCAAGCAGTCAAAATTATGCTTAATAGCTTCATTTGCATATCATAGATTTCTTAATGAAAAGTGACACATCATTTTATGCAGGTATGTAAATTTGTCCTAGAGAGCTGAAAGTTTGCATAGTACACCTACATCTGAAGCTAAGTCTCCCCTGCAAATTTCATTCCAATCACTTGAGTAGTTCAAAAGTTTGACCTCTAGCCAGTGTCCCCCCTTAATTGGCTGAGTGTCTAAAAGTTGTTGCAACCTTTCTATGAAGCCATAATTTCTTTAGTTTTGCATGCTGCCAAACAAAATAATGATTTGTTGTTTGCGGGTTTTATGGCGCAACAGCAACGGAGGCCATACTGCGCCAGACTAAATTAACTGATGAAACTCCTATAGTTACTTCATTACAAAAAGATGATCCTGAAAAAACTGGGATTAGATCTGGTGTATAAGGCCAGTACTAGTAATATATGATAAAACTCGATCAAGAGGAACGAGAGGGTGCTTTCCCAGCAAAAGAGCGGGATGAAATGGAATACAAAATCTAAAAAACTCAGGAAAATGAGCGCGTCGTTCAGTGTCGAATTCCGGGCAGATCCACAAAATATGAAGAATAGTAAGATTGTCTCCACAGTGCTCACAAACTGGTGGATCCTCCCCACAAAGGAGATATCTGTGTGTAAGGAAGGAGTGCCCGATTCGAAGCCGGCACAATACAACTTCGTGAAAGCGGTTCTTAAGTGAGGAGCTCGCCCAAGACCCAAGGACTGGTTTGCTTACATGGAGCTTGTTATTAGTCTCCATGGCCCACTCTGTCTGCCACAAACTAAAAAGTGATGACTTAATTAATGATTTGATATCCTGATAGGGCAAGCTTGCTTGATATTTAGAGAAGTTACCTGAAGATGCAGCGAGCCTGTCTGCCTCCTCATTACCCTTTATACCCATATGACTCGGAACCCAGCAGAATTTTATATTGTGACCCTTACGTAAAGCTCCGTTAAGTTTACTTCGCACCTGTTCCACAAGCATATTCTTAGTGGCTTTTAGAGAGCATATTGCAGTAATAGCACTTTGAGAGTCCACAAATATTACGGCCCGTCTAGTTTTAGTCTTCAGAATATAATCCAATGCAAAAGACACAGCATAGATTTCAGCAGTAAATATACTCGCAAATTTCTCTAGACGTTTAACTTTTACAAAACGACCTGAATGCACGGCACACCCGACAAACGATGAAGTCTTGGCACCGTCCGTGTAAAAGTGAGCATAATCTTTATATTTCTCTTCCAGGTCTAGGAATTCCTGCTGAATCACAAGAGCAGATATGCTATTCTTATTAAACTTAGTTAAAGTCCAGTCGCAAAAAACACGCACTACATTCCAGGGCGTAACGCAGGCTGTGTTCTGAATTAGGTTAAGTTCGTCCAGATGAAGTTGAAGTGAGGAACAAAATTGCTCTATACGAAAACTTAAGGGTCTCACAATGCTTGGCTTATTTTC